GGAAACTTTGGGATATTTTCGAATAAACATGGGCTCACTTTTCTTTGGTTGTTGAACTCGTGAGTCGTATTTTTTTTTTCGGATTTCTCCGGGACACGTTCCCACGAGCGTGAGCTGTGGGTGGCGCCAGGTCTGGCATTGTTTTACTAGTGAGCGAAGGTCCCCCTCCAGTGCTCAGAAAATATTTCAATATATTCCATTTATTTTAGTGCTTGCAAGCACTAAAATTAAGCTACCATGGCTCCAAAGAAAGCTCTAGCGCTAATGCCTGTGGGTCAAAGAAGGTGAGAAATATGATTGCATTTAATGAAAACCATCATTGAACAATTTGAATGTGGTACAAGTGTGACTCGATATGGCCCAGGATGTATAAGAAACACTACACAACCTTATGTTCCATAGTGGCCCAAGAAAATAGGAAATCATAGGATGCTGTGTTGTTGCAAAGGGGGTTCAACTTTGCTGACAATAATGAGTCACCAGTATCAATGAGGTTGAGAAGTTATTATTGGTGTGGATAAATGAGAAAAAACAAACCAATTTAGCAGGGATACTTATTATGGCTTCGTTTATTGTGAAAAGGCTAGGCAGCTTGCATGTCGACTATGGTAAAGAAATTGCCTGGCAACAGTGGTGATCATGTGATGCGAATTTAACGGACAGCCAAAGGCTGGTTTGAGAGAATTTAAGAACCATTACCTGGCATACACAGTGTGGTTAATAGGGCATGGTGGGAGGCTGCAGTTCGGACCTCAAGGCGGCTCCTGAACATGAAAACATATGTGCTTGAATTAAGGAAAAAGTACAATTCTGGCTGAAGGGACTGAAACCTGAACAAGTGTTTCTATTGTGACGAAACAGGCCTCTTTTGGAAAGGATGAAAATGCCAATGAGGACTTCCATTACACAGGAGGGAAAAGGCATGCCCACGACACAAAGGCCTATGAAAGACAGGTGACAGTTGTTAATGTTCTTGCTATGCTAGTGGGGCTTTCAAAGATGAAGCCATTACTAGTGTACCTTCTGAAATCCCAGGTGTATTCAGGATAAACAATGTCTATGAAGAGTAATTGTGTGTGTTTTGGAAAGAAATCTATTAGTAAGGCATGGGTCACGAGGGATAATTTCGTCGAATGGTTCAATGAAGTGTTTTGGCCCTAGTTATGAAGGAGTATAATCTCTCCTGGAAAAGAAATTGGACACTCGAGTGCTGTAGTAATGGACAATGACAACCTGTCATCCTACAAAACTTGGATGACCTATTTTCGAGGGTAGTTGGGTTCCTCTCAGTAAAGTTCTTGCCCGAATTACCACTCCTTCTCTCCAGCCAATGGACAGAAGGTCATTGACAAAACTTTTAAAAAACTCTACACAAAAGCAATGTTTCACAGGTGCTTGACTGTGACCACAGACACTCACTTGACCCTAAGGGAATTTTGGAGAGAACACTTCAGCATCCTCCATTGCATAACCCTTATAGGTATGGCTTGGGAGGGAGTGACTACCAGGACTTTGAACTCTGCCTGGAGAAAATGTGGCCAGATTGTGTCGACAAGAGGGATTTTGAAGGGTTTGGGACTGACCCTGATGAGCCTATGTCTGTTGTAAAATCAATTGTGGCACTGGGGAGTTCCATGGGGTTGGATGTGAGTTTGGAGGATGTGGAAGAATTGGTGGATGACCACAACGAAGAGCTCACCACTGAGGAGCTGCAAGAGCTTCAGCAGGAAGAGCAACAGATCGCAGCTCAGAATCTTGCTGCAGAGGAGGAGGAAGAGAGATGGAAGAAGGTGCCTTCTTCAGAAATTAAAGAGATTTTTACTATGTGGGGTAAGATGGAAAGCTTTATGGAGAAACATCACCCTAACAAGGTTGTTGCAAGCCATGTTGGCAACATGTACAGTGACAAAGTCTTGGGCCATTTTAGGGAAGTGTTAAAGAGACGCCAGAAACAGAGCTCTCTGGACAGTTATTTTGCGAGACAGGACTCCAGTGACTCTCAAGGTGGTCCTAGTGGCATTAAGAAACAGAGAAGAGAAGCAACCCCTGAAAAGCAAATGGTACCTGAGGTGTTGATGGAAGATGATTCCCCTTCCAAACTATAAATAATCCAATCTCTCTCCTCCTACAGTCTCCCATACGCTAAAAGAATCTCCAATAAAGGTAAGTGTTATGCTGTTAATGTTTCATTCATCATTTCTCATTGTATTGTTTATGTACATGTATATTTCATGTAAAAAAAATTTTTGTTTTAATACTTCTGGGTGCCAGGAACGGATTAATTGTATTTACATTATTTCTTATGGGGAAAATTGATTTACAAATCGTAAATTTCGTTTATAGTAGCTCCTCCAGGAACGGATTAATTACGATAAACGAGGGACCACTGTACTTGGGAGTTGACGTGTCGGCAGATGGATTTATGAAGGATGAGGTTAATCATATAATTGATGAGGGAAAAAAGGTGAGTGGTGCATTGAGGTATATGTGGAGACAAAAAAAAGTTGTCTATGGAGACAAAGAAGGGAATGTATGAAAGTATAGTAGTACCAACACTCGTATGTGGGTGTGAAGCTTGGGTTGTGAATGCAGCAGTGAGGAGGCGGTTGGAGGCAATGTGTGGTGTAAATATTATGCAGAAAATTCGGAGTGTGGAAAGTAGGAGAAGGTGTGGAGTTAATAAAAGTATTAGTCAGAGGGCTGAAGAGGGTTTGTTGAGGTGGTTTGGTCATTTAGAGAGAATGGATCAAAGTAGAATGACATTGAGAGCGTATGAATCTGTAGGGAAGGAAGGCGGGGTAGGGGTCATCCTCGAAAAGGTTGGAGGGAGGGGGTAAAGGAGGTGTTTTGGGCGAGGAGTTTGGACTTCCAGCAAGCGTGCGTGAGTGTGTTAGATAGGAGTGAATGGAGACAAATCGTATTTGGGACCTGATGATCTGTTGGAGTGTGAGCAGGGTAATATTTAGTGAAGGGATTCGGGGAAACCGGTTGTTTTTATGTAACCGGACTTGAGTCCTGGAAATGGAAAGTACAATGCCTGCACTCTAAAGGAGGTGTTTGGGATATTAGTGGTTTGGAGAGATACATTCGTGACCCGGTGGCCTGGTGGCTAAAGCTCCCGCTTCACACAGGAAGGGCCCGGGTTCGATTCCCGGCTGGTGGAAACATTTCGACACGTTTCCTTACACCTGTTGTCCTGTTCATCTAGCAGCAAATAGGTACCTGGGTGTTAGTCGACTGGTGTGGGTCGCATCCTGGGGGACAAGATTAAGGACCTCAATGGAAATAAGTTAGACAGTCCTCGATGACGCACTGACTTTCTTGGGTTATCCTGGGTGGCTAACCCTACGGGGTTAAAAATCCAAACGATATCTTATCTTATCTTACGTATATACTTCTAAATTGTTGTATTCTGGGCACCTCTACAAAAACATTGATTATGTGTGAGTGAGGTGAAAGTCTTGAATGATGAAAGTATTTTCTTTTTGGGGATTTTCTTTCTCTTTGGGTCACCCTGCGTCGGTGGGAGACGGCCGACTTGTTGAAAAAAAAAAATAATAATAATAATACTTAATACATATGTAATAATTCAGATTGCTTCTGCTAGTTGGCACAGCTGGTAAGCAGTAAACATGTTTGCATCCCTGTGGGAGCAGTTCTCTTGTGCTTGTTTGCATTTTTTCCCAGGCATTTGGCCAAATTTCTTTTTTCTAACCATAGGTCCTAGTGATCTACTGCAGTTAGCCTCAAAAATACTCTGTTTTCTCTTACAGTAAGAACATGGGAAGATACTATAATCAAACTGGGACAGAAATGGCTGACGCTTCTGCCGGTCCCACTGCCTCTGCCACCATGTTATGGCCTATTTTATTCATTCTAGAGTATATATCATGTTTCTGTGCTAATTATATTGTTTATTATGTCATATTAGATGAATTGTGATAGATAAATAAACCGTACAGTTGATAATAGCATCATATTCAAGTATTTTTTCTCGTCTCTTCTGAGTGCTGGAACGAATTAATGGCTTTTCAATTAATTTAAGTGAAGAAAATTAATTTGATACATGAGTAAGTTGAGTTACAAGCTAGCTCCTGGAACGGATTAAACTCGTAAGTCAAGGTTCCACTGTATTACCCTGCTAACACTCCAACAACTTGTCAGGTCCCAAAAACCATTTGTGTCCATTCACTCCTATCTAACATGCTCATGCACACTTGCTGGAACTCCAAGCCCCTTGCCCACAAAACCTCCTTTACCCCCTCCTTCCAACCTTTTTAAGGATGACCCCTTCCCTACCTTCTTTTCCTTATAGATTTATACACTATTCAAATCATTCTACTTTGTTCCATTCTATCTAAATGACCAAATCACCTCAACAACCCTTCTTCAGCCCTCTGACTAATACTTTTAGTAACTCTCTGCCTCCTAATTTCCACACAATGAATTCTCTGCATAATATTTAACCACACATCGCCCTTAGACACGACATATCCACTGCCTCTAGGCATCTGCTTGCTGCAGCATTTACAACCCATGCTTCACACCCAGGTAAGATTGTTGGTACCACTATACTCTTTTACATTCCCTTCTTTGCCTCCATGGATAACTTTTTTTTGTCTCCATGGATACCTCAATGCACCACTCACCTTTATTCGTTCATGATTTCTGTGTTAACCTCATCCTTCATAAGCCCGTCTGCTGATAGGCCAGCTTCCAAATATCTGAACACTCACTTCTTCCATACTCCCTCCCTCCAATGTGATATCCAATTTTTCTTTATCTGAATCGTTTGATACCCTAATCACCTTAATCTTATCTATGTTCATTTTACACACCCTCCCAAACTTGTCCACCAACCTCGGCAATCTTTCTTTAGAATCTCCCAAAATCACAGTATCATCAGCAAAAAGTAACTGTATCAAGTTCCATGTTTTAATGGAGTTTTATGATATGTGCATGCAAATCTGATTTTCTAAATAATTTTTAAATTATTTCAGGTTCTTGGAAATCAACTTCACGAGCACCACTTGGCTTAAACATTGAACAGCGGCCATCACAAAGTAATTACTCTACTGTAGCTATTGTTCCTGTATCGGAAGATGTTCCTCTCTCCCAGTTCACTCTTGAATTGTATCACTCCTTGCTCTCTATTGGTAAGACTTCATTAAATTTATTGTAGTACTTGTTTAATTTTGTGTTTCCTTTTCTTACTGTATCTTTTAATGTTACTGTTGAGGATTTTGTTGATATGATGATGCTTTGGTGGATAGAAAATAAGCTTATGATTGAGAGTCTTGGCATTAGTGAAAAGAAGATTCATTACTGTGAGTGTGACACATGACTCTTCATGGCAGTCCCCTGTTCCTTTACTGCACTATATGACAAAAATGCCCATAAGACATTCTTCTCTGCTATCATGTGTGAAAAACAGTACTCTACCTATCCACCCATGCTACCATTTTGTGTATGCATTTAATTTTTGGCATGGTAATTTATTTCAGTAACTGAAGCTACTACAGTGGAACCTTGGCTTACGAACACCCCACCATGCAAATTTTTCAGGATACGAACCGTTGTTTGGTTGATTTTTTGCTTCTGGATACAAATGAAATTTCAAGATGCGAACTTCCCCCTCAAAGGAGGTTCCTTAAATAAATAAATGAATAAAATATTTATTTCTTTGCTAAGGTTACAATGTGTGTTTACATATCATAATATAATTGGAGCAAAGAAAGCCACTATCATGCTGAGGCATTTCAGGAAGACTTAACCTAATACTAATAGACTACTTAAGTCTAGACAGGTGAAAAGTGTACTAGCAGTGATTACCAATGTTTTGCTGATGATGGTGCCAACTACTGGCAGCCTTTTGAAGTTTCTCCTTACTACTGTTATTATTATTATTATTATTATTATTATTATTATTATTATTATTATTATTATTATTATTATTACTATTATTATTACATTGTATTATTATTATAATAATTATTATTGTTATTAGTATGCACATGGTGATAGGCTCTTGATCTAAGGAATTGTATCTATGCTCCAGTTCCCTAAATTAATAATAATAATATGTTGTCATTTTTAGACATTTTTCGTATTTTTTTTTTTTTTATATTTTTGTGCCAAATGATTCAAAATAAAAATTGGTAACTCTCTGGGTGGCTGTAGGTACAGCTGTTATGACCACAGCTATCTCAGTGTCAACCAAAAGTCAAAAGAAAGAGGTGTGCCGCTCTGAGTTACCGCAGCAGATACTTGGGATGCATAATTTTGTCTTATATTGTACAAATTTCTTACACAATGCCTCGCCCAAAGAGACGGTATTCATGTACAGTCAGCAGGAAGCGATTAGAAACTATGAAAAAAGCTAGAGAAATGAAGAAGGCAGCAGCATAAGAGTGGGGCAGCTGGCCACCACCACCACCACCACCACCACTGTGGCTGCCGCCACTGCCACCACCACCACTGTGGCCACAGTGATCATGTCTTCACCTATATATACATCTGTCTTGACCACACCTGTGGTTACATATGTGACAACCTCACCACTAATCATAGATAAACACAAGCTAGGTGTGGGGCTATGGACTGGGAAGATACTCGAGTGGGAGAGTAAATGGCGGATGCTTTCTGCCGCTGCCAGCGTCGCCATCACTTTACGTATTATGGCCTATTTTATTCATTCTAGAGTATATATCGTGTTTTTATGTTTTTTTTTTTTATTATTATTATCACACTGGCCGATTCCCACCAAGGCAGGGTGGCCCGAAAAAGAAAAAACTTTCACCATCATTCACTCCATCACTGTCTTGCCAGAAGGCTGCTTTACACTACAGTTTTTAAACTGCAACATTAACACCCCTCCTTCAGAGTGCAGGCACTGTACTTCCCATCTCCAGGACTCAAGTCCGGCCTGCCGGTTTCCCTGAATCCCTTCATAAATGTTACTTTGCTCACACTCCAACAGCACGTCAAGTATTAAAAACCATTTGTCTCCATTCACTCCTATCAAACACGCTCACGCATGCCTGCTGGAAGTCCAAGCCCCTCGCACACAAACCTCCTTTACCCCCTCCCTCCAACCCTTCCTAGGCCGACCCCTACCCCGCCTTCCTTCCACTACAGACTGATACACTCTTGAAGTCATTCTGTTTCGCTCCCATTCTCTCTACATGTCCGAACCACCTCAACAACCCTTCCTCAGCCCTCTGGACAACAGTTTTGGTAATCCGCACCTCCTCCTAACTTCCAAACTACGAATTCTCTGCATTATATTCACACCACACATTGCCCTCAGACATGACATCTCCACTGCCTCCAGCCTTCTCCTCGCTGCAACATTCATCACCCACGCTTCACACCCATATAAGAGCGTTGGTAAAACTATACTCTCATACATTCCCCTCTTTGCCTCCAAGGACAAAGTTCTTTGTCTCCACAGACTCCTAAGTGCACCACTCACTCTTTTTCCCTCATCAATTCTATGATTCACCTCATCTTTCATAGACCCATCCGCTGACACGTCCACTCCCAAATATCTGAATACGTTCACCTCCTCCATACTCTCTCCCTCCAATCTGATATTCAATCTTTCATCACCTAATCTTTTTGTTATCCTCATAACCTTACTCTTTCCTGTATTCACCTTTAATTTTCTTCTTTTGCACACCCTACCAAATTCATCCACCAATCTCTGCAGCTTCTCTTCAGAATCTCCCAAGAGCACAGTGTCATCAGCAAAGAGCAGCTGTGACAACTCCCACTTTGTGTGTGATTCTTTATCTTTTAACTCCACGCCTCTTGCCAAGACCCTCGCATTTACTTCTCTTATTACCCCATCTATAAATATATTAAAACAACCACGGTGACATCACACATCCTTGTCTAAGGCCTACTTTTACTGGGAAAAAATTTCCCTCTTTCCTACATACTCTAACTTGAGCCTCACTATCCTCGTAAAAACTCTTCACTGCTTTCAGTAACCTACCTCCTACACCATACACTTGCAACATCTGCCACATTGCCCCCCTATCCACCCTGTCATACGCCTTTTCCAAATCCATAAATGCCACAAAGACCTCTTTAGCCTTATCTAAATACTGTTCACTATATGTTTCACTGTAAACACCTGGTCCACACACCCCCTACCTTTCCTAAAGCCTCCTTGTTCATCTGCTATCCTATTCTCCGTCTTACTCTTAATTCTTTCAATTATAACTCTACCATACACTTTACCAGGTACACTCAACAGACTTATCCCCCTATAATTTTTGCACTCTCTTTTATCCCCTTTGCCTTTATACAAAGGAACTATGCATGCTCTCTGTCAATCCCTAGGTACCTTACCCTCTTCCATACATTTATTAAATAATTGCACCAACCACTCCAAAACTATATCCCCACCTGCTTTTAACATTTCTATCTTTATCCCATCAATCCCGGCTGCCTTACCCCCTTTCATTTTACCTACTGCCTCACGAACTTCCCCCACACTCACAACTGGCTCTTCCTCACTCCTACAAGATGTTATTCCTCCTTGCCCTATACACGAAATCACAGCTTCCCTATCTTCATCAACATTTAACAATTCCTCAAAATATTCCCTCCATCTTCCCAATACCTCTAACTCTCCATTTAATAACTCTCCTCTCCTATTTTTAACTGACAAATCCATTTGTTCTCTAGGCTTTCTTAACTTGTTAATCTCACTCCAAAACTTTTTCTTATTTTCAACAAAATTTGTTGATAACATCTCACCCACTCTCTCATTTGCTCTCTTTTTACATTGCTTCACCACTCTCTTAACCTCTCTCTTTTTCTCCATATACTCTTCCCTCCTTGCATCACTTCTACTTTGTAAAAACTTCTCATATGCTAACTTTTTCTCCCTTACTACTCTCTTTACATCATCATTCCACCAATCGCTCCTCTTCCCTGTTTTTTATATTGTTTATTATGTCATATTAGATGAATTGTGATGGAGAACTAAGCCGTAGAGTGGACATAAGCATTATTTTGTCATGCCTCCTGAGAGACTGGAATGGATTAATTGCATTTCAGTTAATTTAAATGAGGAAAATTGACTTGGCATATGAACAAATCAGGATACGAACAAGATCGCAGAATGGATTAAATTTGTAAGCTGAGGTTCCACTGTGTATTCAAACTTCAGGACCAAAAGGTAACACTGAGATTATGTGGTTGAAGGACTTTATCATGTTTAAGTACAGTAAAGAGCATATAATTCTCTTACCTACTACAGGTTGGCCATCACTAATCCGGCATCATTGGGACCTGTAGTGTGCCGGATTAGTGAGTTTGCCGGATTACAGAGTGTTACATTATAATACACTTAATTAACCTATCAACAGAGAGACATTCTGCTATATCTTCCTTATTTTCATCACGGCTTTCTCTTCCACTGGCTTGCTGTTGTGGATTTGCAACCATCTGCACAATTTCTGAGTCAGTATAATGATGAAATTTGAAATTATGCTAGCCAAAATTAGTGCCAGATTACTGATGAAACTGGATAGTTGATTGCCAGATTAATGATGGCCAACCTGTAGATGCAAGTCAAACACACATTTTAATAAATTTTGTGTACTTGAATAGCTTTGGTAAATTTTGTTGTTTTTTTTAACAGTTTCTTGTTGGGAGATTTTCAATATTACTAGTGTGTTTTGTGTCTCCATACAGTGGTCTTTGGAATTAGAAAATATCACTAATATAAACTGTGTACATGTGAAAAGTTTTGCAATGTGACTGAAATTGACTATTCTTGCTTGCAGGTCCTGCATTAAGACTGACATCAGAATATGTGGTACGCTCCATGGGCACAAGTATATGGGAGTCTGCCAATGAATATCAGCTGATTTCCTGGCTAGGACATATAGAAGATCAACATCGTGTTACCCTCTACCAGTGTGACTCCTCGCTAACTGTGTGGACACAACGATGCATACGTCAAGCTGATGTGATACTAACTATTGGTTTAGCAGACTCAGGACCTCAGATGGGAAAGGTTGGTATAATGCATGCAGCTGAAGCTACATACACTTACTGGCTGACTCTTGTTAATCTGGTTCCTTGATGCCAGTGAGGGGCTCTTAATCCCTTCCTTGGAGCAAACCTGAATCCCTGCTATTCGCCCAGCCACTACATGATCCCCTATGGGTTTAGTGCTTCTCCATGAATGTAATAATAATCGTGTTAATATACAGTTGTATGTGCATTGTTCCAGTCAAGGTATTGTGCCTTTTTATTCCTTAATATGCAGTTGTGCACAAAAGTTGGCAGACAGCTTCTTCCACTTGCTGAGCTATTTTCAAGATTTGTGCATTATGACTTGTTGGTCTCCAACACAAAAGGAAAGACAGGAGTTTCAGTTAAAATCCTGTGCTGTTTATTGTTGTGTGCCACATACGTTTATTCAACCATTTGCAGAATTAGTATTGGTGAACATTGTCCGTAACAGTACATACTTTATGTATTTGGAGATTTTCTTTTTTTTTACATGCTGACGTCTCCCACCGAGGCAGAAACAGTTTCACCCTCATTCACATTATCACTGTCTTGCCAGAGGTGTGCAGATATGACAGTTTAGATGTCACTCTAAGCAGCAAGTATCCTAAACCTGTGGAGTGCAGGCACTGTACTTCCCACATCCAGGACTCTAGTTCAGTTAACCAGTTTCCCTGAATCCCTTTAAAAAAATTTTCCTGCTCACACTCCAACAGCTCGTCAAGTCCCAAAAACCATTTGTCTCCACTCAATCCTTTTAATATGCTCACACATGCCTGCTGTATGTCCAACTTCCCTGTCTTTACTCCACTACAGATTTGTACACCCTCCAGGTCATCCTATTTTATGCCATCCTCTCTGAATAGCCTCAATAGTCCCTCCTCAGCCCTCTGAATAATACTTTTAGTAGCTCCACACCTCCTTCTCCTCATTTCAACACTAAGAATTCTCTGCAGAATATTTACTCCACACATTGCCCTCAGACATGCCATATCTACTGCCTCTAGCTGCCTCCTCACTGCAACATTCACAATCCATGTTTCACACCCATGTAAGTGTGTTGGTACCACTATACTCATACATTCTCTTCTTTGCCTCCATGGATAACATTCTTTGTCTCCACAGATACCTCAATGCACCACCCACCTTTTTCGCTTTCATCAATTCTATGGTTTGCCTCATCCTTCATATACCCTTCTGCTGACATGTCCACTCCTAAATAGTATGTGAACACTTTCACTTTTTCCATACTCACTCCCTCCAATCTCTGATATTCGTTTTTTTCTTGCCTAATTTATTGAATACCACCACCCCCTTACTCTTATCTATGTTCACTTTCAACTATGTAGACTTAATCTTTGCTTTTAGATCACCTTACAAATGACACCAAATACTATAACCAATGTTAAAAATAAATCATGCCTTTTTTCTCTTTAATTTGTTCACTAAAATATAACTCTTTTTTTTTATATTTTTCATTTAAATTTTTGTTTTTTATCCCAAGTAGTTTTTTTATCATACATTGTTTTCATGCGCTTTCTTGACATTCTGTACTTAAAAACCTCCAAACAACTTTATGAGGGGGAAAAGGGGGGTGGTGCACTTTGGGGGTCTGTGGGGAAAAAGAAATTGTCCTTGGGGGCAAAGAGGGGAAAGTAGAGAATATAGTTTTTACCAAACGCTCTTATAGGGTGTGAACATGGGGGATGAATTTGCAGCGAGGAGAAGGCTGGAGGCAGGGGGATGCATGTCTGAGGGCAATGTGTGGGGTGAAATTTTAAAGCAGAGAATTCGTAGTTTGGAAGTTGGGGAGGGGCGGGGTTACCAAAAATGTTGTCCAGAGGGCTGAGGAAGGGTTGTTGAGGTGGTTCGGACATGTAGGAAATGGAGCGAAAAGAATGACTTTAAGAGTGTATCAGTCTGTTGGGAAGGAAGCGGGGGTAGGGGGTTTTGGCCTAGGAAAGGGGTTGGGGGGAGGGGGTAAAAGGGGGTTTTTGTGCGAGGGGCTTTTTTTGCAGCAGGGATGCCCTGGCGTGTTTGTAGGAGTGAATGAGACAAATGGTTTTTAAAAACTTGACGTCTGGGGGGAGTGGAGGGAAAGTGAATTTTGAAGGGGGTTTAGGGAAACAGGCAGGCCGGACT